AGTAATTATTAGTTCACTTGTCAAATATAAGGATGTATATATTTTAATTATGAGACAGGCATTACCATCAAAAATTAAATAACTAAATAAGCCTATACACTGCCTTTTCCTCTAGATAGTCTTGTTGTTTTAAGAAGTTAAATCTATGCAGACATTTAGTGGCGTCGGGCTAAGGATGAATGATGACATTAAACAGCCAAGTGATGAAGGTGAATTGATGAAACTGGTCTCTGTACACACTGAGCCTGATGTTCTGCTTCTACTAGTGAGCCATTCCTTGAAGGTCACCAAAAGCTTATGYGATTGAAGACTTAGTATCCAGGCATCAGAGTTGGAGAAGAAGTCCATGGTTGACTTTGGTTCAGCTTGAGCAGTTGACAGCTTAGGTGTATGCTGCTGGATTATCATACCTAGTAAATAATACTGAGGCTGTTGCCTTTTGTGCTCCTCAATGCCTCCACTCATTGATTCATCAGACTTCCTCTGAAAATCCCCTCTAATATGTAATGCATTCCTTGAACTTATMTAAAAATTAATGATTGCCCATTTGGCTACCTGAACATGCATTCAAAATTTCTAAATTCACATCTTTCCCCATAGGTTTGCCAAAATGTTTCAGACATAATCTCATGGTTATGAGTCATAAATGTAAACAGCAGTCCCTCTTTATCTGCAGGAAATATGTTCTGAGACCCACAGTGGATGCTTGGAACCATGTATAGTATTGAACATTATATGCACTATAGTTTTCTTATATGTTTACACCTTAATGGAGTTAAATTTATAAATTAGGCAGGGTAAGAGATTAACAAAAATACTAATAAAGTAGAACAATTATGATAATATATCATAACAATAAAAATTATGCAAATATGGCCCCTCCCCCTTTCTCCCTCTCCCCCCCCAAAAATCTTATTTTTATACTTACCCTTCTCCTTTTCATGATGACTTGATGTAATGAGATAAAGTGGCAGGGAAGAAATTATCACGTGCTATAGCTATAGCTTTTGTGCTTTGAGCTGTGACAGTAAAACTAGCCTGAATTTATTTTATCCTTCTTAATATTTTCTTTTTTTTTTTTTAAAGAATCTGTCTATGACAAGGAAGCACAGCTTTCTTTCTTTTTTTTTAAAGAGAGAGTGAGAGAGAATTTTTTTTAATATTTATTTTTTAGTTTTTGGCGGACACAATATCTTTGTATGTGGTGCTGAGGATTGAACCTGGGCCGCACGCATACCAGGCGAGCGCGCTACTGTTTGAGCCACATCCCCAGCCCGTTCTTAATATTTTCAAATACGAAAGATTCGTTCTTAACAATCTCAACATAAGACTTTTTTCTTTATTAATTGTATTCATAACTTTTACCTTTTTATTAAAGGAAGCATTGGCAGATTATTTTTGGCATATATGAATTGTTAACATTACTTCTCTTGTGCTTTGGAACCATTATTAAGTAAAATATGGGTTACTTGAACACAAGAACTGTGATAACTGTGAAAAATCAACAGTCCTTAGTTGATATTTGATTTTCTAATCAAGACAGCTACTAAGAGACTACTGGGTGGGTAGCATATACAGCTTGGATACACTGGACAAAGGGAGAGTCACATACCATGTAGGATGAAGCAGGATGGCATGAGATTTCATCACTTTACTCAGAACAGCATGAAATTTAAAACCGGTAAATTGTTTATTTCTGGAATATTTTATTTAATATTTTCATACTACATTTGACTAAGGGTAACTGAACTTCAGAAAGCAAACTGATTAAGAGGGAATAGTATATCTTTTAAATCTTCATAAAAACATCTTTTCATGAACTTTGGTTAACCTTGCTACACTAATTGGAGCCATTGTTTTCATGGCTTGGCTACCATATATCTTGATTTTTGATGACAATAATGGTACGTTTATTATAACCATACCTGTGGGTCAAGTTCAAAACAGTCTATTTTTATGGTTCCTTTTTTTTTTTTTTTTAGCACTAGAACACTATTGCTTTGGTTGAATACAAGCAACAGTAATTGGTTTTCATTTACAGGGCATGCTTTACAAGAACTACATGATTTTTAAAACACTAGAATTTCATCACCACAATGAAATACTCACCTTTGACAAGGGCTGCAGAAATGGATGAAGCAACCGATTAATGACCTCATTTCAGTTTCACATCAAAACATGAGCTGATTGAACAGAAGCACATTGAAGTCACCCAAACTTTTAAATCATCCTCCCTCCTGGGCTGAACGCAGAGAGTTAAATCAAGATGAAAATAGGACTGCTCTGAATTACCTTTTACAGACTTAGTGTGTGTGTGTGTGGGGGGGGGTATTTTATATATATAAAATACATATTTTTATGTTGGATCATTTTACATCTCTAAGTTTCAACCATGTATGTTTCTTTAAGTAATAAAACCACTGACTTCCTTTTTACAGTCCAGTTGAATTTGGAAGGTGATATGGGTGAACACTGATATAATTCTAAGTCTTTCTGAGTTAAAACAGGAAAGAATAGCTGCTTCTTGCCCCTATGACAGAAGGATTTTCAGTTACTTGAGAGAAAAATATATATATATAACTAATTACATTATTTTTCTTGTTCCAGAATCTTCTAAGACTTGCTCAGACACATCCAACCTACTACCCCAATCTATGATTTAACTCAAGGTTTTATTAAATGTAATGAATATCATTTGCTGTTTAAAATATTCACTTTATCTTTCCTTAAACAAAATGATCAAGAAACAACATTGTTACATACTAAAACAAAACAAACAAACAAAAAAACATTAAAGCCTAAGAAGGGGCAGGAAAGCATCTTCCAAATGGAGCGGAACTCTTGGTATCTGAATTCTTAGTGAAATTTCCATGTAGATCAAGAAAAACAGGGTGAAAACATAGTGCTGCCCTTTACAGGATATGGACCATATCTGTCTGCCCAGACCCTTGTATGCTTGTCAAGATAGTAGTTCCTCCAACTTAAATCCTTTTCACATCACATTTTCAAATCCTTCCCCTTACCCCACACATATAGAAAGATCATTTTATATTCAAATGTAACTTTCTAACAACATATTTCCATAGAAAAGGCGTTATGGGCATAATGCAGACAAACAGATTAGGAATGAAGAGGACTAAATCTTCTTTTACAAGAAAAATAATTATGTAGGTCTATGTGCTTACAGACCATTACAGTTTTTCTGATTAGAAATTGTTTTCCACCACTGATCCTGATTTTCTATACACACCTTAATGATGAGAAACCCACCATGAGAGGCACGTCCCCCTCTCAGCCTACTGCCCCACCCCCGTGAGAGCAAGGTTTTCAGTGTTACCTGAGAAAACAACATCATAACTAATTACATCATTTTTCTTGTTCCTGCATCTACCCAGGCTTGCTCAGACACATCCAACCTGTTACCACAATCCATGATTTAACTCAAGGTTTTATTTCATGTAATGAATATCTTTTCTCCATGTGAAGTAATCAGCTTATCTTTCCTTATACAAACTGAATAGCCAAAAAGCAGTAACATAATGTGCTAGAAAATAAATTAAACTAAGATATATTATTCATAAAATGACATAGTCTATTGAGAGTCTTTATAAGGACAGAAATTAGCAAGAAAATTTGCCATTTAAAATCACCAATGAGCACCTAGGTTACTAGTGCATATACTAAAGGTAGTTGAAGTTTTTAATTAAAAAAAATAGATCATATTACATTTACGTAGGTTATTGCATTTCTATTACAGAGTATCACTAATAAGGATAGTAAAGACTAAAACTTGGAGATCAGCTTATCTATTATTTTATTATTTTCTCTATTGTTTGATAAATCCTTTATGCACTTATTATCAATTCTCGGATTACATATGTGTGTACACCACATATATCTCAATGTGTGTGTGTGTGTTAAGTGACAAGACGCAGCATATCTCAATATCTCAAAATAGGAAAATCCACACTATACTTCCAAACCACCTATTTTATATATAAAATGCAGTTTAAAAAATGCATTTGTATACTTTTAAAATCAACTTTATTGACAGCTAAATCTTTTTTTAATACTACTCTTAATTATTACCTGTATGTAGCATTACCTGCGTTACTGTTTCAATCCTAAGAAAACAAGAGCATTTTCTGTAACATTACATAAGCCTGAGAGCAAATAGGAGAGAAAAACGCTGCCTATGTTGGGATGAAAGCCAGTTCTCTCTGAAGCTATCACTGACACACAAAAAATAGAGGCATTTGAGTCATTTGAATTGCCAATATTGGCCAAGTATTAACCTATAAAAATGGCAATTTCCCGTTAAGTGATATAGCCAGACAGACCTATGCAAGCTTTTTCGATGCATCAGAAAATTTTCTTAAAATTTATTACCCAGAAGTTGATTACGGTCAACCATATAGAAAAGAAAACCTAAACGTCATTACATATATGCTCTGAAAAATCCATGAACTTTCCCCCATCTATATTAAAACCATACTGCATTCATACAAAGAAAAAGAAAAGAGATTGTTTAAAAAAGTGCACCAGCCAAAATATAATAAATGATCTTGGTCTTTGTTCTATCAGATGGCCATGCAAAGGTATCGATAATGGTTACATCATCAGATTCAACTGCAACTTGCTCCAAATATTGTGTTTGTGGCTCACACCATGAATCTCTTGACGGAGCTCGACAACCGTGAAAACATAAAATAAATGACGGTTAACAAAGACTGGTCTAAGGAACAGTTCACAACAATACCGAAATGCTCTTATCACTAATGCTTGATTCTGCATTTGGATACTTATATCTGAAAGACTTGCAAATAATGACAACATTCATGCCAGACATTACTGCAAGTGAGGATCAGACTAAAGGAGAGGGGAAAAAATCGCCTTCCAAGAGAGAAACATTCATTAGCCTTACTGGCAAGTGTCTAAAGCAAACAAGGAAACTGCAAAATAATTACTTAGTTACAAATAAACGCTTTTTAGCACAGTACCTTTTTGTGTCTGTCCCTCTTCCATATTCTCTTCCATGGCTACCTTTCTTCAGTAGAATCTGGTACACGGAATTAATCAAAAGCTCAATTAGATGTTGAAAAAACTGGTGACTTTTTTTTTTTTTTCCCTGGGAAGCTCCAACAGCAGTGGCTTGGGCAAGTCCTTAGAGCTTAGCTAAGGCTCCCTCGCTCCTCTTGTTTGCTTGGAGACTGGCTGTCAAGTGTAATTTCATTCAAATTACTCTTCCGTGAAGATTATCAATTTTTCTTCTCAAAGCTGCCCATTGTATACCACAGTAAGCAGGTATTCAAACAAACAGCCTGAGAATTTTGGGGGGAAATGTGGTCTGAATTCCAGGAGCAAAGACACTATGATTCATAAGCCTTGCTTTGCATTTAAAATGGGGAAAAGAAATTGAGGTTTGTATTGAAATCTGGGCTTTAAATTGGAAACAGGCTGAGCTGTGAACAGATGGAGGGGTGTCCTCCTAACATGAAGCAGACCACCAACCCATAATCCACCCCCCTTTGCTACCAGAGTGGGAAAGCCCAGATTCCCGTCGGTTCTTTATGCTGCAGCAGTTGCTTCTCACCCAGTCAGATGCGTTGCAAAAATGTGTTTTCCTGTTCTCTCTCCTAAGTATCTAGTTAATTTGATTTAAAGGTGCCAAGAAGGGATGCAATTATACTATCTCAGGGTTTATTTCTAAAAGGTTATTATTAAGAGAGGACCTGTAAGCTCACATCTTTCACATTTGAAAAGAAACAGAAGCAAGGTTTTCAAAGGACTAAGTATAAACCTTTAAGCCTGAGAGATACATGTTTTAAGCAAGTGTCTTACTTAGTGCTATAGGACTCCTACATGAAAGGAGGAAAACCACTAGGGGAAAAAGGAATCTATTGATGTCTTTGTAATTTATTGTTATGATTTTATCCCACTAAACTGCTGATTTCAAATGGGACTCTCTTGAAAGAGAATTTTTAAAGGGTCCTTATTGAGGAATGAGTAGGGTGATAAAAAGAAGGAAGGAATTCTAGATAAGGAAAAACAGGGTAGCAATTTATAATGGAAATCTGCAGTCTGATTTGGAATTCGAATCACAATGCTGCAGTCTGGCAATAAATTAGCATTTGTACTTCAACCTATTGAGTGACAAGACACAATCAGAGTTTCAATACTTCACAAGAGGTATACAAGAAAATAAACAGTGTCTCTTTCAAGGCAACACAAACCTTTACTAGGGTATAAAGGAAGGAAGACTTACGCATTCCTGTCTCAAATAAGCAAGCATAGAGGAAAGGCTCAAACACACACACACACACACACACACACACACACACACACACACACCACAAACATACACATACACAACTACAACTGTGAAAAATAATAATTCACATACTCATTATCCACAGCATAAGTTTCTTGCATAATAGCAAATAGTTCACATACATTTTGTAAAGTACGTCATTAACATGTTGCACACCACCCTCTAAATCATTTCAAAAGCAAGTATTTAGAGGAAAGACAATTGTGCATTCCATTTGATCATAAATGAATGTTCAATTTTCCTGTTTCCATTATCACTTGCTATTGCTTTTTTTAAATGAATTTAACCCAAAGATAATGATGATTCCAATTTATTCCAATAGCTCAAAACCTCTCTCTGAATATGTGTGTGTGTGTGTGTGTGTGTGTGTGTGTGTGTGTTGTATGTATTCAAGTGCTTTTGAGAGAATTGCTTGCTTAGGGAACAGATTGAGAGAGAAACCATAAGGGAAATCAAAAGAGCCCAATCATAGCAGTCTCTCTGCTTCAATTCATCCCTAGGCTGACATAACCTGGCATACAGTCAAAACAGAAGGAGCATCACTTCTCATTTATATTCTTTATTCACATTATATCACAGAAATCATTAGTGAAACAAATTATTAATAGTACTACCCATGAAAATAACAACATTTCCTGAAATGTTTATAGTACTTTATAATCTATAAAATATATTCACATGCACTCTCCCATTTGTAAGGCAAATGGGGAAAGCATTGTTTCCCAAATTATATATTAGGGGAAAATTGACACTTAAGGACACCAAGGGATAGGGCTAGTAAATGACTATGAGTGCCTTCAGTGTTCAAAAATCATCCTCAGTTCTTTGCTTTCTTTTTCACTGTATAAGTAAAGCAAAAGAGAGGGAAACTATAGAGAAAAAGAAAAAATTAAAATTATTTCCTGGATAAGATGAAGGGAAAGTATTTTTTTTTCTTCCAGAAAATGCAACAAAACAATACATTCCTGTAATCATCAGCTTTTTCCACTAGAAGAGACATTTTTTCCCACTCAAAAATTGTTTCTAAAAATAGACAACAGACACTTATATCAACTTTGTAAATATACAAAGATCCACCTCCACTTCAGTCTAATGGACTCCTGTCAAACAGATGAAGAAAAACACAGGCACATATAACATTCTAGCAAAACTCAACTGCTGGTAAGCTGAGATTCATCTTTTGTCTTATTGTGGTAAAATATATGTAAAAAATTATCGTTTTAATTATTTAAGTCTATAGTTTTGTGGTAATAAGTACATTCCCATTGTTCTACAGTCATCTCTACCATCCATTTCCAGAACTTTCTTATCTTTCTAAACTGAGATACTGTACCTACTACACAGTAGCTCTCCATTGTCCCTTCTCCTGAAGGACAGCAGTTGAAGTGTTGTGGTTGAATGCTTGTTGACTTTAGGATTATTTTCTAAAGATCTGTTCTCATTTGAAGTAAAAATATTTAGAATATCCAAGTATGTGAAATGAACTAGAAAAAGAAAAATGACTGATCTTAGGGTCCATTAACTATGAATTCCACATACACTGTTATGAACCTTAATTGCTGGCAAAGATGATCCCTCTGTATCTCCATTACCCACAACAAGTCGAGAAGGCCATGGTGCCTCAACTAATATTCTTTTCATTATACACATTACATTTGCTGCATTCTACTCTTAGTCATGTATTCAAAATGCATGATTATAAGTTCACTAGGTAGTTAAAAAGCTGTGATCACAAATGTCAAGTGAGATTTCCCTTTCAAGTCTCATCTAAGCAATATTTATAATATGTATCATTTTTTATGTGTAAGCTAGAAGACATATTTGTCATTTAAGTCCCTCTCACTTTTCTTATTTAAGTTAGAGAGAACTCTTTCTTTAATGGTCCATCTTATCTTGTGGATAAACATACTATGTGAACTGAGAAAAGATCTAGTCGTTCTTCTATTACATAGGGCAGTTATCTCTGTGGTTCAAAATTCAAAACATAGTCAAGTAAACAGAGTTACAGATTAAACAAGAAATTGGTCATTCCAAGTGCAGCATCAACTGTAAAACATGAGAAAAAAAAATGTTCATGGTTTCTGAGTCAGAGAACAAAGCGGACATGTGGGAAATATGATTATGTGAATCCAGTATAGTGTACAGAACTAACAGATATAAACACTGCTTAGAAACTGTATTTTTGCTGAGAGAGAAAGGGGAGAGACAGAGGGGAGAGACAGAGACAGAGACAGATGCAGTATCATCTCAAGAATAAAATGTCTTGGTTGGTTTTTCCCACATTTTGACAAAGAAAAAGGCCACACTGCTGCTTTACACTCTAGGGTCAAAAGTTGACTTCCATAATTTTTTTTTTTTTAAAACCAAAAGCACCACCAAAGGTAGAAAGTATATTTTACATATATATGCAAAATGTAAAATATACACATAAAATTAAAATGACACTCTTCAGAGTTATGTAATTATTCAAAACAGTCAATTCACAGAATGGTCATGGCATTCACAAGTCTTGCTATACTTGTCATTTTGTAACCTCCTCCTTTTTTTTTTTTTTTTTTTTTGGTACTGAGATTGAACTAGGGGCACTTAACCACTGATCCACATCCCCAGCCCTTTTCTTTTTATCTTTTATTTTGAGACAGTGTCTAGATAGTTTGCTTAGGGCCTCACTAAATTTCTAAGGCTGATTTCCAATCCGAGATCCTCCTGCCTCAGCCTCCAGAGAGGCGGGGATTACAGGGGTGCATCACAGCCTACAGCCTTCCTTTCATTCTTAATTGAACAAATGTTTATTAAGCATTCCTACATAAAAAGGAACTTAAGTAGGTAAAAAGAGACAAATCTCTGATCTAATTATGCTTAGAACCTAGCATCACAAGGCAGTCCCCAAATCATAATGCTAAATAACAAGTGCTACCTAATAAGTGTCACGCAAGCACAAGATGTTACAGGAAACGAAAACAGGAATATCTAACCTAATATTTAGTTTTGATAGTTTTGAAAGTTCTCTCATCTTCCAGAAGGTACAGTTTTATCTGACCTGATCAAAGCAGAAGACCTTTCACCTAAGAGAGATAAAAATAGCCAGGGAAAGAATCTGGTAGAGCGTCGGTGAGAAAGGAAAGTTATCCTAGACGACTGAAACTGAACACACAAAGGCCCATAGGAGAGATATTCTTCTGACTACATGTAATGACTAACGCCTGGTGACAGGGGGTAAGCCCTCTCTTACTGTTCATTAGGCATCTTCTCCCCAAGGTTGTTAGTAGTCTATGAAGGAAAATCCAATTCTAATTCAAATTGTGGTCCCCAAATTTCCTGGAGTTACTAAAGAAAGGGAAAGACCCTCCTCAGATTTAGCATGAGTCCTACAAAGCTGGAGTCTAAAGGGGAGACCATGGGAAAACCATTAGTGTTTAGTTCCAAGAAATTACCCTGGTCCTCTGTAGCATCCTGTGCTTATTTTATCCTTGGTCCCTCAAGCATTTCATACCAATACCTTTTCTCTCCAATCTGTTAGTACCATATTTTCACAGTTAGCCAGGCATCCTGCCGCAACAATGTCATAGCCTGTTTACACTTGGTCACTTATTTCCTGGTGTTCTTAGGATGACATTCAACCACCTAGAATGGACCGAAAGATGGGATACGACCTGGAGGAAACCCATCTTCTTCCAACCCCTACTGTTCTTCTTCCCTTACTAATTTCTCAAAAGTTTCAATTTGTT